TCCTGCTGATGGAAGAGCTAAGGAATGAGCTCTGCAATGTGGAAAGGCATTGGCCCTTCCTTAATTAGCTGTGATCAACTTGAGGGTGTTGCCAGAGAGTGTGGAGCAGAGCTCCTGGTTCCTCAGCTCCAGGGATGAGTCAGGATTATGTGTGTTCCTGTTCTGCCTCACTGGAGAATAAGATGAGTTAGAGCTGTTATTCCTATAACAGAGCTCCTTTTATCCATTTAGGAGGATATTCCTGTTTATCTTTATTACCTGTGGGTGCAGTTAGTTTTTCCTCTGGCTACTGTCCCGAGACATGAGCTGAATCCAAGGATATTGCAGCATGGAAATCCCAGTGGGATGTCAAGTGGCTGTTAAAGATGACAGGGGGAGAGCTGTGGTTCACTGTGGTGTTTTTCTCCCCTCAGAGCCTGTGGATAAGGTGGCAGCAGTCCGGGAATTCCGTGTCCTGCACACTGCCCTGCACAGCAGCCCTGCCTACAGAGATGCAGTGAGTGGGCTTCCTGCTGGGCTCTCTGGGGGGGTTTGGGCTGTTCTCTCCCTGGGAGGACAGTCTCCCAGTGGAGCCTGGCTGGGTGACACTGCTCATGTGCTCTCATTTCCCTGACAGGTCTTCAAAATGCTGGGAAACAAGGAGTCACTGGATCAGATCATTGTAGCTACACCTGGCCTTAGCAGTGACCCTGTTGCTTTGGGTGAGTTCAGGTGTGATGCAGAGGGAAAGCCAAATAAGGATAATCTGGGCTTAATTCCTGTCAGGGGAAAGGGAGTGTTCTAGAAAAAAAACCACACCTTTTTTGTCCCTTTTTAGGGCATAAGAGTCAGTGACTGCTCAGGTGTCAGAGTTGTGCCCCCCTGGACATGTTTGGCGGTAGATCCTAGCCTCAGAAGGGTTAGGGAACAGTGGGAATGGATGTTTTCTCCCTGCTGCAAAGTGTTACAAAATGTTCATTAAATCTAACTTGCTTATTCTGGCCTGGGATGGTGCTAGTATGAGGCAGTTGGAATTCGGGATGCAGTCACAGCCTGGCTGGGTGAGCTGGTGGCCAGATTGGATCCTGCTCTTAAGGTGGAGCATCTGTGGCATCTGCTAGAAAAGCCCCATCCCATGGGTGTGTGGCTGTGGTCAAGGGGCTCTCCAGGATGATATGAAAGGCTTCAGAGAGAACAATAATCATAATAGTATTTATGGTGTTTGTTCATGACTCAGTTCCTGGAAAAAAATTAATTCTTTTGGTTTTCCCCATGGCTTTTGTTTGACTGTCTCCTGGTCCTTGTATCCTGTCTCGAGTCATGTTTCCTGGTCCTTTCCAGGAGTCCTGCAGGACAAGGATCTCTTTTCAGTGTTTGCAGACCCCAGCATGCTGGACACGTAAGTTCATGTGGGGCAGTGACTCAGCAGGGCGTTTGTCTCACTGTGTACCCAACTGCTTCTCCCTAGGTGGGGGAGAGAGCTCTGCTCCTGCCTGCCCGTGTGGATCCACCAGGATTCAAAAGAGCACACTTCTCCCTCAGCAGCAGGAAAGAGAGATATACCACATGGATTAAACCTAGTGGGAGTCAGGGCCAACATTGCCTCCAGATCCCAGATTTAAATCTGGATCCGGTTGCTCCCAGCAGAGAGTTGCTCCCATGAGAGCATGTGGGAGACGTGAACCATGGAAAAATCAACAGGGGATCAAGTAGGAGCCTTAGCTGCCTCAGGAAGTTTGTACTAGACAACCAAAGGCAGCAGTGTGGGTGTAGCCAGTGGTGCTAGCTGTGCCCTAAGGGCTCATTTCTTAGTTTCCCTGGGTCCATGTGTCTCTCCAGGCTGATCCCAGCTCATCCTGCCCTTGTGAATGCCATTGTCCTTGTCCTGCACTCAGTGGCTGGGAGCACCCCTCTGCCAGCCCCAGAGACATCCTCCCGAGCCATGGCCTCCAGCTCCTACAGGGACATGCCAGGTGAGTGGGAATCTGCAAAAATCATGTCTGCAGGACTTGCAGGTCAGTTTAGGATCATGGAGTTACAGCCTGGTTCGGGTTGGAAGGGAAATTCAAGGCAATCAAGTCCCACCTCCTGCCACATTCCACTAGCCCATGTTGCTCCAAGCCCTGTCCAGCCTGTCCTGGAACACTTCCAGGGATGGAGAGTCCCCACCTGTGCTGTACTGACTGTCACCCCTGGGCTGGAAGGACAGGAGTTTTGGGTTCCTGAGCTGGAAACACTCTGTGGTTTGAGAGATTCTGCACTGTGTGAGGTTCCTCTGGGGCTCTTTAGCCTTGGGGCCTCTCCCTGTGCAGTGAGGGTGAACAGCATTGTGTTGTGGTCTGTGTGGGCCTGATCTGTTTTCCACTGACCTGCTGCACCTGCCGTTGTTGGTGCTGAGGCCTCAGTCCTAAACCAGTGCTGAGCCTGGCAGCATAGCCAAGGACTCCATGGGATTCTCATCTGATGCCTCATTCCTGCCAGTTTTCTGCATCCATTTCTTCTCCTTTTTGCTGCAGGTGGATTTCTCTTTGAAGGTCTCTCAGATGATGAAGATGACTTCCACCAGGTAAGCAACCAGATTGGGTGGACCACCTGTTTTGGACTTGCAATCTGGGGTTAATTTGTGGCTTTGTAGATTCGAAAGCTCTTCCCTTCTTGTGTGGGGAATAGCAGGAGCTGCTGTGGCTTCTGAGAGGGTTGTGGCCACAAACATATTGACTGTGGGGTGCTTGGATGCTGTTCAGGATAGGATTTTCCTGAGTGCTAAACACACACCAGAGAGTGGAACAGCACATGTCCTCAGGGGAAACAGCCCTGTAGCCAAATCCATGCAGGGAGAGGTGTGCATTGATGGGGAGCATGGGAATGTTGGGCCCTGCCCTTCTACAGCCTTCCTCTCCAAAGGACAAATTGTTTTGGAGGAGAAATTAGATATTTAGGCCAAAAAAGTGCCTGGCAACAGGGAATTGTTTTGTTACAGGCTAGGAGTACTCTGGTTCTAGGCTGGGTGAATTATATAATATCATACATAATATATATGATTCATAAAATGTATAATATAATGCATAATATAAAATATATAATATGTATTATGATATGTAGTATAATATATG